TTAGCCTGCAAAATATGGATTCTGGTTCACACATGGGTTCTGCATCAAATTAAACAATTTTGTTTAGTCTCCTAAAATCCAAACAAAGCCGATGTTTTCCATCCTTTTTAGGCACAACTAAAATAGGAGTAGAGAACGAGGAGTCCGATGCTTCAATAATGCCAAGTTGCATCATATGAGAGAGCTCTTCTCTCACCACATCCTCTAAGCTGTAAGGAATAGGGTAAGGTTTTACTCTAATCGTGTCGGGCACCGTCACCTCAATTTTGTATTCAGTCACGTTAGTTTTACCTGGAACATCCGTTAATACCGTTTCATACTTGCGTAAAATTTCCTGTAGATCTTCTTGCTGAGCGTCTGGCAAATTAATATTGCAATGTACGTCTTTCCACGTCTCCTGCTGGTGATAACTGGGAATTGTAATTAATTTACCTTGCACAGCGTCGGACGCCACCACGGCGACGGCGGTTTTCTCCGTTTTCTTTTCGCCTTCGCGGTACACGTAACGCTTCAACATGTTAACGTGATATTTTCTCGGAGTCCCGTTTACACCCACCACCTTGTTCCATTTGCTAGGGCTGCCTAAGACTCTGAACGGTCCCTTCCACTGGAACAACAGCTTGTTGGTATTGGTAGGCAACAGTAGCAAGACGTCATCGCCAACCACAATATTTCGGTCTTTGGTTTTCTGGTCGTAGTAGTGCTGGGCTACCTCCTGCGCCTGTTTTAATTCTGTTAAAGCCATTCTACATGTATTTTCCAACCTTTCTCGTAGATTAATTACATACTCATATGCAGACTTTACCTCATCATCAACCGGACTGCCGTCCCATAACTCACGCAGCAGTGTTAGCGGTCCTCTTACAGTGTGTCCGTAAATCGGCTCGAAGGGCGAGAATCCCGTGCTGGCCTGGGGTACTTGGCGGTAAGCAAATAGAAGGGGCGCCAAGTAGCGGTGCCATTCCTTGGGCTGCTCAACACACATCCTTTTAAGCATTTTCTTTAGTGTCCCGTTAAATTTTTCAACAAGACCATTGCACATAGCATGGTATGGTGTAGTGGTCAAAGACTGAATGGAAAGTAAGCGATATACTTCTTTCATTATGTCAGAGGTAAACTGTGTCCCCCTGTCAGATAAAATCTCTCTAGGCACACCTACCCTGCTGAAGACTGTAACCAAGGCCTCTGCTACTGTGGGTGTGTCAATGCTTGGAAGAGCGACAGCCTCGGGGTACCGCGTAGCATAATCCACTGCCGTCAGGATGTACCAAGAGCCATTTGAAGATCGTGGCTCAAGCGGCCCCACCAGGTCTACGGCCATGCGAGAAAATGGTTCACCAATGAGCGGCATGTCACCCAGTCTGACCTTGCTCACCTTCCCCTTATCCACCGTCCGTTGACACATGTCGCATGATCTGCAGTAGCGAGTTACAGCGACGGTAACACCTGGCCAAAAGAAATGCGCAAGTATTCTATCTTTAGTTTTGCTTGTGCCTAAATGGCCTCCCATAATGCCTGAATGGGCCAGCTCCAGGATAGCTTGGCGACACGCCTGAGGAACAATGAGTTGATCCCGTTGTCGTTTTCCCGTCTTCACATGCCTGTACAGCAGTCCTCTTTTCAAAACGAATTTAGATATTTCATTATTTTTCATCCTTTTAAAAACTTTACCTTTTTGTACGTATATCCGAATTCCATCCAAACTTTTATCCTCCTCTTGAGTTTTCTGTATATTCGTGTTCATCATTTTCGTAACCTCTGCTATCTTCAACACTGGCGTCTTCCTTTTACATTCACTCTCGAATCTGGTCTGCATTCTCGTCATCACTCCACACTCTTCCGTTCGTGCGTCGTCCTCACCTGTACTTGCTCCTGGTATTTCCCCGATTATCAAGTCATACAGGGGCTGTGGTAGACATACGGCATTCACCCTCCCAGTATAATAGGGGGTTTTGACATCAATTACTGCTTCAGGGTAGTAATAAATTTTAGAATTTGCCATCATTATGCCCACTTCCTTACCAGTCAATTTAGACGACGGAACCAGACTTCTCCTTACCAACACTGTTGAACACCCTGTGTTCCTCAGTACTACGGCTTTTCTTCCTTCAACTTCTCCTCTAGCAGTCTTCAACTTCTCCTTACCTTTAGCTAGAGTTCCTCCACACAATTCCTCTCCATCTACAGCTTTCCTTTCACTCTCCTTTGCTTCTCCTTGATTCCATTTTACACTATTTTCTGGTGCAATTACAACACTGCTTACTTGGGCGGCTGCATCTTCCTTCCGCGGCTGTGGTCTGCTCGTTTTTCCTCGAACATTCGGTGGCCTGAAATAACATTCCCATGCCCTGTGTCCCCGTTTATTACATATAAAGCAAGTTACCTGGCCCCGCACTGCGCCTTTTTCCGTTGCTGGGATGCTGGGCGTGGAGGGCTGACGAGGGCGGAATACCTGCGACTGGTGTGTCATTGCTCAAGTCCCTTGGTTTCCGTGGGCCTC